AAAAATGTTTTATTCGCTTATCTTGAGTTCTTGGAGTAATACTAATATTATATAGTAATTAGCTAATTGATTGAAGTTCAATAGTGCGTATCTATATGTATATATACACTACAATCACATAATACAGTAATTGTTGTTAGTTAAGTAGTTACCACGTTATATCCACATAGATTGTCTGAAAGCAATTGTCGAGAGTAATATTGTGCCGAGTACATGAACCCAATTAACCTAACCTAACCGAATCAAACATTATGTGCTATTACTTAAATAACGGTCAATTTCCCAGGTCATAATGGATATATCAATGTAGTATGTACTGTGCTTTGATAATATTATTGGGCCGTCTGAACTTCACATGGACGATTCGTCATTGAACAGGGAAGAATAGCGTCATCAAAGCGTTTATTGCGATGCGTGTTATTCTAGTATAACTTATTAAGGAATTCGGTTGGGGTTTTGTTTTTTGGTCTTATAATAGGAGATCGGCTATTTATTAACTCGGCTCGAGCGCAAGAGTGACGTCACTGTATTTTTTTTTGTCTGACAGCTAACGTGTAATTTACAATTATTGTTTAGACGAGCCGGTACTGAAACCCGACGTGGATTTCTTACGACCTTACCGTTCATATGTAAACTACCGTCATATTATTAATACAATATATAATAAACAATTATCAATTCATTAAATTTTCGCCGTCCGCCACGAGGTAATCCGAATCTGAGTTTATGGGATCGAGAATTCCACTTAAAACAGCTATATAAAATCTATATATATCTACTCGTATACAGTACTAAAAAAAAACAATTTATAGGTAATCTGCTATATTTTGTATTTTTTATTTTATAATTAATTGGCTTAAACACATTTCCTATAAATCGAAAAGACCATAATAATGTTTTATGAACCCATTGTTAACCTTCTATCGATCTTAAATAACCTCAGTCGCATCTAAATTAAGTCTGATTTAAGTAAACTTTATTCACGCAAACTATATTAACAAAATAAATATTATTAAATTATTATATACTCTTAATAATTGAACATATTTATTTAGACAATGAAGCTATGAACAATTTAAAATCCTCTTTGGCTTTTCTATAAGTAATCTATGTAAGAGCCAAGTAATAGGTATTGTATTTGTAATGGGCGACATTAAGGTGGAACTAGGTAGGTCAATAATTTCAGTAACCTGATACAAAAAATGGATTTTTATGGATTTTTCCCCCCATGAACTCGAGTATACATTTGATGATGTAATTGATCATAGTACTTAGGGATATTTTTCTAGAAGTTCAGGTTTTTCTTTGGAACGACAAATTCTTCGAGCTTTAACGACTTATACAACCTACACCTAGGTAAAATGTTTAAGTTTTTCCAGTATAGTTGTACGAAAGTGTGATCCATTATGTTTTCAACAGTCATAATGTAATGAATTTAAAAGTAAATTAAACTGTTGGAATTTAGTGTATCGTATACGGAACGTGTCATTTGTATGTCAAACGTGTGACAGACGTTACAAGTATAAATCGTATTACTATTGCTCCGTTAATATGTGGGTCGTCGGCAAGTGATTTAATTTTCTAGGGATTGCCTTAGTAGTAGATCACGGAATAAGCGCCTATAAGCAGGTCAATGTGTATGTGTATCAAAACAAAAATACAGGAACAATATAAGGTGTGCTAATTCAACGTTTTTGAATATAGTTTTTCAATATGTTTTCAGCGACTGTCATTGGTCGTTGAAAAAAAAAATTATTTTTAAAAATTTTGGGGTCTACTAACTAGGTAGTAAAAACATATTAAGCTTTAAAACCAGAATCATAAAGGATAATAATTTGAGATATCTAATGCATCAATCGATTCATCACATGGCCAAAAAAAAGAAGAATTTAATCTTGCACGTATAATTTTTTACAAGGAAAAACAAACGTATTATAAATCGATACACGTATAAAAAAAAACATAAAATTTTATTATGCCAGACTGAAATTGGCATAGTGAATGTACAAATAATTGTATTTAAAAGTAATACAAGTCATAAGTCAAAACAAATTTAGCACTATCGCAGTACATCAGCAGCTCTGCAATTAAATGATTACCATGAATGTACACTGTGTTTATAGTCGTAAATCAGTTATTCATATCAGGATGCGCAGTCAGGATGATATTGGTTAGGTCATCGTTGATGGTTAGATCAACGGCTAAAAATAAAGCACATATTTTTTATTTATTAAAATAAACTGAAAACCAGTATCAGCTATTGACTGGTGTAGCTAACTAGTCTGGTATAAGCTGTAATTTCTCGAGAAATATACCTTCCTGATAAAAGAATGCCAGTAAGCGACACTGTAATATATTCTTGTAAACAATCAGTACAAAATACTGCCCTGAATTTTGTATAGGGACATTAAATTGAGTGTTGGTTTTGATTTCACTAATTACCGTAAGACAATTCGTTAGTATATATTTTTTCCAAAAAATAATATTAGAATATTTTTTTGTATTTTATTTAGAAAACAACATCAGCATTACGCCCGCGTATAACTTACAAGGTCTATAGGTTAATACGACGAGGGGAATAATAACCGGCTATGAGCCAAGTACCTAGGTATTTGTTTTTTTGTTACTTGACAAGGTTGCGAGGAAATAATTAACTAACAACATTAGGGACTACTGCACACGCGTCCCTGCAGAAATAATTTTTAAATTATATTTACAAGTTAACTACCAAAAATGTATTACAACCACAAAGATATAATTATTTTTATACCTAACGATGAGCTCACAATAATGATTCACTTATGTTATTATAAAATACGAATCGTTTGACCCCAAATCCTTAGTGTCTTCAAATTGTATTTTATTGGAGGTCAGAATGATTCGTATGTTATTATGTTTTATAATGTATTCGTTTTTCTTCCTCACGTTTACGCCAGGAAATGAATTTTATTCCGGAATCGATTATTACATTTACCCATTACATATTAATTATTATTGTAAAGAATACGAATTGTGCCTATGTATTCTTCTCCGCTTTCCATTAGAGTTCATCCCGAAATAAACGTTTAAACAATTTTAAAATGTCATATTAGTTACTGTAGTTAGCATTATCACTCATGAACGGGAAAACTATTACTATTCAGTTACCAAACTTTTTTTTTTTGTTTCTAATAAAACAATTATTGATATGTCATTCATAAAATACATTTATCAAAAAAGGGTTTTTAAAACTATACATTTTACTACATTATGCGATACTATAAACATTAATATTTGGAGTAAATATAATATAATAAACATCCGTTAGTTTTTAACAAAATGTATTCTCCTATAAGAGAATATATTTTATTTTATTATCCTTGTAAAAAAATGTAAACAAAGCTGGTTTACTTTTATATTATTATTATTATTCATATTTCGTAACAAATTACAGTATACATACGATGGCAACCAGAAATCTTAATAACATAATTAGTTATAATTAAACAAATAATTAATGATTATTCATGTATTGTTTGCTGTTGCACAACGTGCAGAGTGGGCTTATACATTATAATCAATGTTATTTTAATAACTATAAAATTTAATTACTTTTTGCAAACTCTTATATTTTATCTTATATATCTCAAACTTTTATTTTAGAATCCATTTTTTTCTGTTTTTTATTACTTACATTACCTACATTATTTACAAGCTCACGATGTAACTACGTTATAAAATATTGTTTTTAAGTATTAATAAGTAAAAATTATAAAATTCTATGACACAAATTTAAAGGTTGTACATAAAAATACGGTTTACATAACTGACCAATAATAATATAGAAAATTAGTGAGTTGAGGTACGTTATGTTTGTATAATGTGATTAAAACAGAACAGAATACTAGTAATGACTCATTATTACTATTCTTATAAAACTACACTATAATTATTTTGGTCTTAAATTTAATTTTAACGAGAATTTTTGACATCTCGATCACCTTAACAAAGTGCCCTCCTATTACATAGAGAAAATATGATCATTTTTATGTTTTTAGCAGGAGACGAATTTAAATTTAAAACGTATTTTGATTAAATTATTCTTAACTTGAATTTAAGAATTATCTTATACTTAAAAAAAAAAAATTTATTTTTAATAAACATTCCTGTATAACTGTTATTGTAGAATTTTTATACAAAACAATTCTGATGGCATTTTTATTTGTAGGAACTTTTTAAATAATGTTTAAATGTTCTTTTATAACAGTTAAATTGGAACTTTCCAAAAAAGTTTTTGAGCCTGCTGGTAAATGAATTTCCTTTAATTTGTCAAATTGTGCAGGTCCAAACCCTAATAATAAAAAATTAAAATGTTATCTTACCTACAGTGTAAGATAATGAAAAACAATTCTTACCCTGTTTAACTTTTTTTTTTAACACAAAGATCAGGAAAAAATATCATTTTTTTTTTTCAATCGTTTGTTGTAGTACAGTTGTGAACAAGCAAATTTAACAGCCAACTGTAAGAGTTCAAGACGTTTTTGTGATGTTTTAATAACTGTCGGACGTGAAAACAGCGTGGGTCTTTATTGGGCGTCGGTGTATTTTTTAGGTATTACAAGCGCCTCCGACCGATGAGCCCTACTTAGCAAATCGCACGCATGACACACACAAACACGATATCAAAGCGAACGGGATGTGTACTAGCGTTCGTTAACATTTTGATGTGTCAATGTCAATGTATGCAAAACACATATCCCAGAACACATGGCTCGCGGCGACCTGGAAACCATCTAACAATAATAATAATAATAATATATCGGCTTATCAATTTACACACACACACATGTACACAAGCCTACAAGACGACCAGACGGGCAGATAATAATAACACTATTAGACCCATTATCGATATTGGTGAGAGGGGGGCACAGGTATTTTGGCGGCGTCCCCCCGGTCGTCATGGTGATGGCGATTGGGTGCCGGCAAAACTATATAATATCTTATAAGAAGATCCGAGGAGGAAGGATCTTGCGGCTATTTGTAGAGCGCCGGATGGATTGTGTTGCGAATTCAGTCGTTGTGGCGCTCAACCGGCGATATTATACTGGTCGACGGTGACCTCAACGGTCGTGTTAAACGTGTTCTCATCATTTCGCAGGTAAGCCGACAAAACTTTGTTTTTTATTTTTTATTTAATTGTAACTAGTAATTATTAAGTTGAAGTTAAATTAAATATTAACGAAATTGCTCTATTATTTTTTTAATTTAACCAAAAATAGTGTGAAAAATTATTACTGTACCTATCTAAATATTGACTATTTTCCTGTTATACCATAAAGACTAAACGAATTTTCGGTTGAACGCGAATTATACAGACGTTCATATCATACGATGTTGAATTTTACTACCTCAAAAATAAAAAGCTCTGGTAGGACTAGGTCCCTAGGTAACTAGGGATACGGCACAGGTACGCCACTGAATAGTTAAACAAAAGTTAAAAGTTTTAAAAGCACAACAAGCTTACATAGCGTTCTCACTTGATAGTTTAAACTTTAAACATTAATATGATAACATTTGATTTTGTGCAAATAGTGTAGGGGAAGTCATCCCTCATTGGATCTTTATATATATAAATACAAGTAAAATTATGTTCTAATCATTTCCGCGTAATGCATTGACTCAAATGGGGTAGCTGTAAACGAACAGGGCAAATACAAATCCATGTAACTAAGTCATATGTTTTTTAATGTTGTCCAAATTTTCCTCATAACTAAAACATATTCTTTTTAATTTTTTTTTTTTAGAGGAAACAAATTTGTATACAATAAAATCAAATAAATTAAATTAAATAACATGTACAATTAACTTATACAAATTAATTTGATTACTTAACCCCATTAAGCTATGTTTGTGGCTGGGTAATGTCTTAACTACTAAAATAATAATCTTAAACAAATCCTGACTAATCACTTTATACCTTAAGAATTCAATTTTTTTAATTCGATTAAAGTTTAATTAAAAAAAAAAACTCTTAATTTTGTAACGTTAATTACTAAAGATCTAATAAAATACACAATTTTTGATCATATATACAAGAAAATTTGAATTTCCGCCATTTGTTTACAGCTATCCGATCTGACCTTTCAGTATTCATATTACGAACTAATAAAACGGTTAAGTTTAGGTTAATTTTAACAACATACTCGTATGCCGAATTTCATAATTTAGTCATCGCATACATTAATGAATCCCTTACTGTATCCTGGGTGGTTGTTTTAAGAATTTTTATTAATTAACCATTAAATGAACACATTTTCTAGGGGTGGCATTATATTTGTATGCAATTTTTTTAACAATACAGAATAAATCGATAATATAATTACGATCGAAAAACGATCGTGTATCTACAATTTCTGTTTCGTTATTGAATTTAATAAAATTGTACATTCCGACTACGTGCTTTTCATTTTTAAAATTAAATAGAAACACAATCCATAATGATAACGAACACTATTAGATAAAGCTTAATGGCAAATTCTAGTTTTCTTACGCATAACTATATTTAATGACGTCATCGACGCTTTACATTATGTTAAGACGTTAAGTTTATTTACAAACGATGTGACCGATTAAATTAATAGTTTTTTTTTTTACTTTTCAATTGTAATGGGTTTCCATAGTCGGACAACTCCTATAAAATATATGTCAAAACTAGTAGCCAGACGTGTTTTGGTTAACTATTCGCCCATGAGTGTCGCGTTTAAACGTTTCAATCATGTCGCCAGTAATACGTTAATAGTATGTCGGGTACATACCGATATTGTATCTACATGCAGCATGCATTATTATTGTAAAGATTTGTTCTGTAAGGAAATGTACAAACCTTCAAGCGGCCACGTTTTCTTTCTATCAATCGTTAATAACTTAGCATTGAAACAAAATATGAAGACGAGCCGCGATTTCTGTTATTATTATTATCAATAGCATTATTCCTGCGTTTTAATTCGCAAACACTTTCTCAATGTCATTTGGCACAAGGTTCATTGCCGGCGAACCGAATAAAACAGTGTACCACCATACTGTATAGGATTTTTATGTTTCGCCAGATTATAGTCCGGTTTAGGTATAAAGTAACTATAGGTTTATGCCGTTTGTGCCGTTGAACGTGTCGTTTGTGTTTTGTTTCTCGGAATAAAATTCAATAACGACAATATGTAAATCACAAGCTTAACTGGGACACGAGTAGGAGGAAGCTGTATTGATATTACTGTTGTATTTACTGAAACATGTATCACCGAAATGTATCGTCTATCTAAGAAAACAATTTCTTCGACTAGATCTTCTATCCAAGAAAGTTAAATTCGTTATCCTGCAGTTTTTTTCAAACGAAATTCAATTAGTTTGGACAATTAGTTGTGTGTCATCGCGTGGCGGTACATACGACCAATAATTGTTTTTACAATTGAATTATGATTAAAATAAATAAACATACATGAATTACACACACACACACACATTTTTTATTAACAACTGTCTCTACACAGTATGCCCTAGAATAACTATTACAATGTTTAATTCTCCATTGTTAGCTTTCAGACAAATACCAATCGTTACAATGACGTAGCCCGAGGGAGAGGGGGGGTAGGGTAATACAAATATCCTTTCTTGACTTTTTCATTTGGTAAGTTTATGCTGTTAGGTACATTAAACATTGTTAGCGACTAAAACGTGTTAACGCTCAATTATTATCAGCTCATGTATAAAAATAGAAGTTAATCTAGCTAGATAGCTCGGTCAATACCCTTAGAGCCGTTTTCAAAAAGGAAGGCGTTTTATGTCTTATAAAATCATTTTCCATTGTACAAACATTTTATTTTAACCTACCCTTATACATTTTAATCTTTTCCTTTCTCCGAAACCTGGTTACGCCGAAATAGCTATATTTTATACTACTATAATAAGCAATTAAAAAAATTAATACATGTATATTTTACAGACTAAATTTTATTACTGTGGTCGTTTAAAAGTGTACCAACGTTTTAAACACAATCACGCTACTATATTTTGGAGGGCTAGTTTTCGCATACTTTTCATCCTGGGCGTTTTGATCGAAGTTAACCGTTTAATTTACTATCACATTCTGGTATTACTGAATGTTCTGATTTGGTTCTATAGACTTGTTATGTTAATTAAATATGCAGTTCTAGATCATACCGTATGGTACATACAACAATATGTGTGCGAATCAAAAACGGGTTTGTTGCATTTACCTATTTATTAAAAGTTATTTCACGATTTAATAGGTACTTGGCTGTTTATATTATATCTTCTTTGATATAAGAGTTTGGAAATGATTCATGTGTAATCAATAAGATCTAGTCGTGTTAGACGTCGACGGGTTTTAGTCGGCTGCCAAACCAAAACAAACAAATTCGACACAATATTTTCGAAATAGATTTTTTGCCGTAATTAAGTTCCGCGCGAAAATAATATTATAGTATACTTATATGTCCATGATGGTGTAGACTGTAGAATACAATACGGAATACTTGGATCGTCTTCCGCGCGCGCGCCCATGTACGAATCGTGTCTGTTGAATTTAAGAAACGTGACGGCATATCTCACGCAAGGCTGCCGTGTAATCGCAGTAGACTACAATTATAATCGTTAACGATATTATATTATTATTATGTACATCACCGTGTTATTTCGGTTGCGTCAAAAGTGCAGCGTATAGAAATGTGATCCGACACCACCGTCGTAGTGGTAATGAAAATAACAAAAAACTAACAATAATCTAAAACAAAAATCAAAGTATAATAATTCTGTGGCTAGGGTCTAGAAATGTCAATCTAAAATTTCGATCAAAATGACTTGGAATGTTAAAACTTTATTATTTATAAAGTTATAACTAGTATAAGAGTGTATGAAAACTTATGTAAATTGAAAACTTTAACGCTTATTTGCTGAACTTTGTAAAAAGTGACATTGGCCTTATTTGATCCAAGCAACAGAATTGTTAATTTTCGCGTGGATCCGTAAACTTAGGACGAGATAGACAATAATTATAGCCGACCGTCATCATAGGGTGTCCCATTTATAATATATTATAAGCACATAGACATTGTGTAGACATCGAGTAAGATAATAATATCATTGATTAAGTACAAACATATATTTAATCAATGATAATATTATTATAACATATTTTATGTTCCGTATATTATAGGTATTAGATGTGTATGTAGCAACATCCGGGCAAGGTAGTGGCTTATTTAACATTTTTTATTTTGGAAAACTCGATACTTGTACTCGGGTCAGATTCGCACGTTGAATCATATTTATAGCAATGCGGGCGTACCGTTAACCGGAACGCGACCCCTCGGGCGCAGTCTTCCATACACAGAGTAGTAAAATAAGGAGTGGAGAAGGGGAGGTTCACTACTCAGACCAGATTAACGCGTATAATAGCTGGACGGGTATCGTTGCGAATATTAATTATGCGATATTTTACCGAAGACTCGTTTTGGTAGCAACTACTCGCGTTGAAATAAATTTGGGTTTTTATTTTCTTTAAATTTTTGCTAAAGATTTCGATACCGCTACAGGTACCGTCTTGGAACGTTTCCGGATGTCGCAAAGTCGTTTCGGCTCGTAAGTAGAATACGATTGACTAAACACATTATATTACAGTAAAAATGTGTTCTGCGATTATTTTTTTATTTATTATTTATTATTGCCGTGGTCGCGTTCACATCGAGTAGTAGGTACATTATCTTACTATAGCCGTATTATAATAGATATTATACGAACCGAAGTTGCGGGTTCACCGACCAGTTTAACGCGGTATGCCAAAAATACTATACATACAATACAAAATCGCTTGGAAACGTTATTCTCAACCAATATTCACTTCCGAACGCGACCCATGTGGACATAGAGCCAATTACTATAAAGACACACTTGATCATTTGAGCTTTAGACCAGATGTTGTGATATTCGACTACTCATTTGACTCTGTTCCTTTTTCGTAACTTACCCAAAACAAAGCCACACCGTTAGGCTTACTAAAATATGAAATTCACTCTAGTATGGACTTGATTATTTTGATTATTACGAGATGAAGCAATCAAGACTAACGATGTTTAAATATACTAT